GCCTGAGCCCAGGAGGCGGAGGTTGCGGTGAGCCGAGATCGCGCCATTGCACTCCAGCCTGGGTAACAAGAGCGAAACTCCGTCTCAAAAAAAAAAAAAAAGAAAAGAAAAAAAAAAAAAAAGAAAAAAAAAATTAAAAACCTACTCAGGCTGATAGTTTGTTTTCTAAGGAAGTTATGTTATTTTATATATATATATATATATATATATATATATATATATATACATACATATAACATTTAATTCCCTTTTATAAGACTCACTCCTGTAATTCCCAGCACTTTGGGAGACTGAGGTGGGTGAGTCACTTGAGCCTAGAAGTTCGAGACCAGCCTGGGCAACACGAAACCACATCTCTACCAAAAGTACAAAAATTAGCCAGTCTTATGATGTGGTCTCAAAAAATAAATAAATAAAAGCTCAGAACTATAAAATCAAAGGACATGAGCATAGGAAAAGCATGTCTGTGCAACAGCCAGAGTTCAGTTGACCTTAAGAGACGACTCCTCTGCTCTCTAAGTTCTCATCCTTGTATTTTACAGTATCTGTAGTGGCCCCCATCTTATTATTATTATTATTATTATTTTTCTTTTTGAGATGGAGTCTTGCCCTATTGCCCAGGCTGAAGTGTAATGGTGCGATCTCAGCTCATTGCAACCTCTGCCCCTAGGTTCAAGCAATTCTCCTGCCTCCACCACCCGAGTAGCTGGGATTAGAGGTACCAGCCACCAAACCTGGCTAATTTTTGTATTTTGTATTTTTTTATTTTTGTGAGGTGAGGTCTTGCTCTGTCACCCACGCTGGAGTGCAATGCTGTGATCTCAGCTCACTGCAAACTTCGTGTCCTGTGTTCAAGCGATTCCCCTGCCTCAGCCTCCTGGGTAGTTGGGATTACCGGCGCCCACCACCATGCCTGGCTAATTAATTTTTGTACTTTTAGTAGAGACAGGGTTTTGCCATGTTGGCCAGGCTGGTCTTGAACTCCTGACCTCAGGTCATCTACCCGTCTTGGCTTCCCAAAATGCTAGGATTATAGGCATGAGTGACCTCGCCTGGCCTTCATCATGACTTTCTAATTCCAATGGTAATATTTACAGTATTCACCAAAACTTAGAATATTGAAAATACTGGAATTCAGTGTTTCTTTGATAAACCTTGTGTACAAAATTTGAAATTTTAACATTGGCACTCAAAAATCTATATAGAATGTATGTTGGAGTATTTCAAATTTACATAGAAACATAACTTCCTTAGAAAACAAACTATAAACCTGAGTAGGTTTTTAATTTTAACATCCGAAATGCTTTGTATGAGTTTGCTTTTCACTGTACATTCCTCATTTTATATTCATTTAACCTGCTGATTAATTTTTAAATTGTAAAGTGTTATTATTATTTTTCTTTCTTTGCTGCCTTTTCCAATCGGCAGGTCTTTTTTTTCTTCCTAATTAAAAATGTATTTTTCTTCCTAATTAAAAGTGTGTGTGTGTGTGTGTGTGTGTGTGTGTGTGTGTGTATGTGTGTGTATAAACTTCACCAAGTGAAACTAAGCCATACTGTTTTTGAGCCAATTATTGGTAATGAGTTAAAAGAAAAAAAGAGAGAAAAAAAGTAGTTTTGTCTTCAAGTAAAATGTCTGGCTGTTCCAGACATTTCACAAGTGTGAAAGGAGGTGAGAGAGGCTCAGCCTGAAGTCGTGTAGTAAGTTGTAAAAAGCTCAAGGGGAGGCCGGGCGAGGTGGCTCAAGCCTGTAATCCCAGCACTTTGGGAGGCCGAGGCAGGTGGATCACGAGGTCAAGAGATCGAGACCGTCCTGGTCAACATGGTGAAACCCCGTCTCTACTAAAAACACAAAAAATTAGCTGGGCATGGTGGCACGTGCCTGTAATCCCAGCTACTCAGGAGGCTGAGGCAGTAGAATTGCCTGAACCCAGGAGGCGGAGGTTGCGGTGAGCCGAGATCGCGCCATTGCACTCCAGCCTGGGTAACAAGAGCGAAACTCCGTCTTAAAAAAAAAAAAAAAAAAAAAAAAAAGCTCAAGGGGAACGGCTGGGCGTGGTGGCTCACACCTGTAGTCCTAGCACTTTGGGAGGCCGAGGTGGGTGGATCACAAGGTTGGAAGATTGAGACCATCCTGGCTAACACGGTGAAACCCCGTCTCTACTAAAAATTCAAAAAAATTAGCTGAGCATGGTGGCAGGTGCCTGTGATCCCAACTACCCGGAGGCTGAGGTGGAAGAATCACTTGAAACCAGTAGGCAGAGGTTGCAGGGAGCTGAGATCGAACCACTGCACTCCAGCCTGGGCGACAGAGTGAGACTCTGTCTCAAATAAATAAATAAATAAATAAATAAATAAATAAATAAATAAAGCTTGAGGGTATGTGGGCTCATTTGCCTTGGTTTGAAATACCTGGGAGTCATCCAGCTTCTGCCTTCCCATGCCAAGTTTACCTCCTGTCTCTCACAACAGGGGGAAAACTTAGTATTTCCTGGAGACCTAAAGGGGCACAGTGAGCTTAAGCCCTTCCAAGAGCTTACCAATCAGTCTGCCCTTTTTCATCCCCAGTATGGTGGTATCGTGGTGGGCCCTTACTGGACATGCTGACAAGTAGCTAGAGCAGTCAAGAGATCAAGACCATCTTGGCCAATTTAGTGAAACCCCGTCTCTACTAAAAATACAAAAATTAACTGGGTGTGGTGGAGGGTGCCTGTAATCCCAGCTACTTAGGAGGCTGAGGCAGGAGAATTGCTTGGACCCGGAAGGTGGAGGTAGCAGTGAGCCAAGATTGCACCTCCATACTCCAGCCTGGCAACAGAGTGAAATTCTGTCTCAAAAAAAAAAAAAAAAAAAAAAAGAATAGCTGAACAATTAAGACCCACCAGTCAAATGGCCTGGGAGAACAGAATAGCATTAGATATGATGCTAGCAAAAATGGCAGAGTTTGTGTCATGATAGGAACCCAGTATTGCACCTTCATTCCTAACAACGCAGCCCCCAATGAGACAATTAACAAAGGCCTGATGAGGCCTTACCTCCCTGTCAGGTGAGTTAGCTAAAACTCTGGAATAGATGACTCCTTTACAGGCCTCATAGAAAAACGGTTCAGGGCCGGGCGCGGTGGCTCAAGCCTGTAATCCCAGCCCTTTGGGAGGCCGAGGCGGGTGGATCACGAGGTCAAGAGATCGAGACCATCCTGGTCAACATGGTGGAACCCCGTCTCTACTAAAAACACAAAAAATTAGCCGGGCATGGTGGCGCGTGCCTGTAATCCCAGCTACTCAGGAGGCTGAGGCAGGAGAATTGCTTGAATCCAGGAGGCGGAGGTTGCGGTGAGCCGAGATCGCACCATTGCACTCCAGCCTGGGTAACAAGAGCGAAACTCCGTCTCAAAAAAAAAATAAAAAAAAAAGAAAAATGGTTCAGTAAATATAAAAGATTCATGACTTCCATATTTAATTCTCTTGCAATTATCATAGTATACTTATTCTTGCTAGGTGCTGCATGCATCATACCCTGTGCTTGAAGACTCATACAGCGACTCATAGAGACAGCTCTCACCAAAACCTTCTTCAGTTCTCCTCCGCCTTACTCAGATAAGTTCCTACTTTTAGAAAACCAAGCAGAACAGCAAAGTCAAGATATGCTGAAAAGATCTGAAGAGGAAGGTGTATAAATTCAAGAGGGGGAAATCGTTAGGAACAAACAGTTCCTCTTCAGGTTTGACTCCCTTGTCCTTTGTCGTATTCTGTAAGTAATCTTTCCTGCCTGACCTGCCAAGCTTGTCACTGACCCACACTGCCCTGCTTTAAGTCATTAGGTACAAGCAGTTAACTTCCTGGTTCTTTGTCCTGTTCTATGCCTGTACCCACCATCTCTCCCTTATTTAGGAAAAATGTTAAATCTAGCCAAGCAGGATAAGTTTAAATTATGGGGTCTGACCCCGGCCCACAGTGGGAGGACACGGAAACAGGGATGTGTTAGGAAATAAGAACCCTGCTCTCCTTTGTTTGGTGTGCTCTTGCCACTGCTCTGTATGCAAGAAACACCCTTCTGCAGAAATAAATTTGCCTTGCTGAGAAACTTTTCCTTTTTGAATGTCAGTTATTTTGCTTGACACTGGACATTAAGATTTATTTCCAACACTACCTACCTATCTTTCTTTCTTTCTGGCAGAGTCTCATTCTGTCTACCAGGTGGGAGTGCAGTGGTGTGATCAGAGCTCATTGTAGCCTCAATCTCCTGGGCTCAGGCTATCCTCCTGCCTTGACTTCCCAAAATGCTGGGATTACAGCCATGAGCCACTGCACCCAGCCAGATATGACCTATTTTTGTTTAGTTTTGTTTTGTTTGAGACAAAGTCTTGCTCTGCCACCCAGGCTAGAGTGCAGAGGTGTGATCTTGGCTCACTGCAATCTCCACCTCCTGGGCTGAAGTGATTCTCCTACCTCAGCCTCCCGAGTAGCTGAGACTATAGGTGTGTACCTATATACCCAGCTAATTTTTGTATTTTTAGTAGAAACAGGATTTCACCATGTTGACCAGGCTATTCTCGAACTCTTGACCTCAAGTGATCTCCCTGCCTCAGCCTCTCAAAGTGCTGGGATTACAGGTGTGAGCCACCACGGCCAGCCCAGATATGACCATTTCTATTGACTCCCATTGCCTAGATATTTCACTTAGAAAGTTTAGTGTTGTTTCATTTTTGTTTATTTGTTAGCTATGGAATCTTTATTTTATTTTATTTATTTATTTATTTCAGTTGACAGAGCTAGCTGAGGTTTTATTTTGGTGGAAAAAAACAGCAATTGAATTGGAGGCATGGGCAAGGGGGTCCCCAGGCAGTAAATTCTCCCTCGGGTGGGCTGAGGGCTAGGGCTGAGCCTCAGGTGGGTCTCCCATTCCCTGTACTACCCTGCACAGCAACCTCCCTCCTGGCTCTGGAGCAGCCCCAGGAGTGGCAGGCAGTGAGGGCCGGGCTGTGGGGGATGCTGGAGCTGTTCACTTGTGCAGGACCTCAGAGGACTTGGACGCCAGCTTCCTATCACAGGTCTTGATCTTCTTCACATCCATGGCCCTGGTGGAGCTGGTGCGGCTGAAGGAGCTGGAGCCTGTGCCAGAGCCAAAACTGGAACTCAGGCCATAGCTGAGGCCAGGGCTTGTGAGGCCCCCATAGGCCAAGCTCAGGCCACCTGCATAGCCACTGGTGGTCGTCGTGTGGATACTCATGTTCTGCATACCAGATTGCAGCCGGCTCTCCTCACCCTCCAGCAGCTTCCTGTAGGTGGCAATCTCAATGTCCAGGGCCAGCTTGACGTTCATCAGCTCCTGGCACTCACATGGCTGCCTCGCCCTGTCCTGCCTGGCCTGCTGCAGGGCAGCCTCCAGCTCAGACAGCTTGGCGTTGGCATCCTTTACGACCAGCTCCCCACGCTGCTCGGCATCTGTGATGGCGGCCTCTGGGGAAGCCCTCTGGCCTTTGAGGCCCTCAATCTCAGCCTGGAGCCAGCTGATGTGCCGGTTCATCTCAGAGACCTCAGTCTTTGAACGCCGCAGCATCTGCAGCTCCTCCTACTTGATCTGGTACGTGCTCTCAGCCTCAGCCCGGCTGCGACTGGCGACCTCTACTGCGCCTTGACCTCAGTGATGGTGCCGTCCATGCCCAGGGAGCGGCTGCTGTCCATGGACAGCACCACACACGTGTCTGAGATCTGGACTGCCCCTCCTGGTCTCCTCTTCCTACAGCTGCCTGAGGAAGCTGATCTAGTCAGTCAGCCCTTCCAGGAGAGGCTCCAGCTCTACCGTGTTCATGTCAGCTCCATCCACATCCTTCTTTTTTTTTTTTTTTTGAGACGGAGTTTCGCTCTTGTTACCCAGGCTGGAGTGCAATGGCGCAATCTCGGCTCACCGCAACCTCCGCCTCCTGGGTTCAGGCAATTCTCCTGCCTCAGCCTCCTGAGTAGCTGGGATTACAGGCACGCGCCACCATGCCCAGCTAATTTTTTGTATTTTTAGTAGAGACGGGGTTTCACCATGTTGACCAGGATGGTCTCGATCTCTCGACCTCGTGATCCACCCGCCTCGGCCTCCCGAAGTGCTGGGATTACAGGCTTGAGCCGCCGCGCCCGCCATCCACATCCTTCTTGATGAGGACAAATTCATTCTCCATCTCTGTAGCTTGTTGATCTCATCCTCATACTTGTTCTTGAAGTCCTCCACCAGCGCCTGCATGTTGCCGAGCTCCGCCTCCAGCTGCAGCTTCTCCTGGCCCAGAGTCTCCGCTGCCACCTAAGATTGTTGTTGATGGAGCTCTTGAATGTGTTGCCCATGTTGCTCCGAGCCATCTTCTGTGGCTGCAGGAGGCTCCACGTGGTCTCCAGCATCTTGTTCTGCTGCTGCAGGAACCGCACCTTGTCGATGAAGGAGGCAAACTTGTTAAAATCTTGATCTGCTCCTTCTCCTGGGGGCACACAGCCTGGATATTGAGGTCCACCCCCATGTTAAGGGGTCTCAGCTCTGGTTGACTCAGGCTCTGGTTGACTGTGAAGTCAGTGATGCTGGCCCCACCATAGCCTCCACCCAGGCCACTCTGGAAGCTGCTGCTGCCCACTCAGGAGAAGCTCGAGGAGCTGATGCAGGCACTGGGCCCACTTGTGTAGGAGCGGCTGCCAAAGACCCAGGGGCCAGAGGTGGACACTTTGCAGGACTTCTGGCTCATCCTGACGGACACGGTGAAGGCGTAAGTGAAGGCAGGTGGGCCGAACCAGGCGGGGATTCAGAAGGAGCAGAGAAGCTGCTGCTTGGTAGCTATGGAATCGTTATACCTAACACGTTTGGGGAGGGAACTGCAGACTCTTGATTTTGGTTGTTGTTCTTGAGAAAGAGTCTGGCTCTGTCAGCCAGGCTGGAGTGCACTGGCACAGTCTCGGCTCACTGTAACCTGCACCTCCTGGGTTCAAGCCATTCTCCTGCCTCAGCCTCCTGAGTAGCCAGGATTACAGGCGTCCACCACTACACTGGGCTATTTTTTTCTATTTTTAGTCGAGACAGGGTTTCACCACGTTGGCCAGGCTGGTCTGGAACTCCTGACGTCGTGATCCACCTGCCCCTGCCTCAGCTTCTCCAAGTGCTGGGATTACAGGTGTGATGCATATACAAGATATATTAGCATGGTAACTAAATGACAGGAGTTTATATATAACTTCAGTCTTTTTTATTTACACTTTTTTAGGGAATAGACGAGGCGTCCCCAAACTACGGCCCGCGTTGCGTTCCGCATGTGGCCCCCTGAGGCCATTTATCCAGCCCCCCACCACACTTCAGGAAGGGACACCTCTTTCATTGGTGGTCAGTGAGAGGAGCACAGTATGTGGCGGCCCTCCAACGGTCTGAGGGACAGTGAACTGGCCCCATGTGTAAAAAGTTTGGGGACGCCTGGAATAGACCATGCATTTAGTAGTTTTGGTTCAATGAATTTTTATATATGTATACAGTGAGGTAATCACCATCCAAAACAAGTTATAGAATATTTCCAGATGGGCGCAGTGGCTCATGCCTGTAATTCTAGCACTTTGGGAGGCCAAGGTGAGCAAATCACCTGAGGTCAGGAGTTCGAGACCAGCCTGGCCAATATGGTGAAACCTTGTCTCTACTAAAAAAATTACAAAAATAGCCAGGTGTGGTGGTGCACACCTGTAATCCCAGCTACTGGGAAGGCTGAGACAGGAGAATCACTTGAACCCAGGAGGTAGAGGTTGCAGTGAACTGAGATTGTGCCACTGCATGGGTGACAGAACAAGACTCCATCTCAAAAAAATACATATATATGTATGTATATAATGTGTATATATATATATATATATACATACATACATATATATATATATATATATATATATATATTTCCAGCACCCGAGAATATCTCTTATTTTCTTCCCAGTCAATATCTACAGTATCTACTCTCCCTACCCACAGCTAAGAGCAATTCAGAATTCTGTAACTACGTATTAGCATTGCCTACCTATTCTTAGACCTCAGATAAATGGAACCAGACAATCCCTACTTTTTGTGTCTGTGTCTTTTGCTCAACATCGTATCTGTAAGATTCATCTTGTTGGATGTAGCCATCATTTTTTTTTGAGATGGAGTTTTGCTCTTGTTGCCCAACCTGGAGTGCAATGGCACGATCTTGGATCACAGCAACCTCCGCCTCCTGGGTTCAAGTGATTCTCCTGACTCAACTTCACGAGTAGCTGGGATTGCAGGCATGCGTCATCATGCCCACTAATTTTGTAATTTTAGTAGAGATGGGGGTTTCTCCATCATGGTCAGGCTGATCTCGAACTCCTGACCTCTGCTGATCTGCCTGCCTTGGCCTCCCAACGTGCTGGGATTACAGGCATGAATCAAGGTGACTGGCCATAGCAGTCATTTTTTTTTTTTTTTTTTTTTTTTTTGAGATGGAGTTTCGCTCTTGTTACCCAGGCTGGAGTGCAATGGCACAATCTCGGCTCACCGCAACCTCCGCCTCCTGGGTTCAGGCAATTCTCCTGCCTCAGCCTCCCGAGTAGCTGGGATTACAGGCACGCCCCACCATGCCCAGCTAATTTTTTGTAGTTTTAGTAGAGACGGAGTTTCACCATGTTGACCAGGATGGTCTCGATCTCTTGACCTCGTGATCCACCCGCCTCGGCCTCCCAAAGTGCTGGGATTACAGGCTTGAGCCACCGCGCCCGGCTTTAACAGTCATTTTTAATTGTTACGTGGTGTTTCATTAAATGACTATGCCATTATTTATCTATCCATTTTACTGTGAATACACATTTGAGTTATTTCCAGCCCTGGGTTTTTATAATAAAGCGACTGTGAAGATGTTTGAGGGTTAAAAAAAATTTTTTTTGATATTTGAATTTTAATTTTTGTAGGTACGTAGTAGATGTATATATTATATTTGTGGGGCACATGATATGATGTTTTTGTTTGTTTGTTTGAGCCAGAGTCTCACTTTGTTACCCAGGCTAGAGTGCAGTGATGTGATCTCAGTTTACTGCAACCTCTACCTCTTGGGTTCAAGCAATTCTCGTGCCTCAGCCTCCCGAGTAGCTGGGACTACAGGTGCCTGCCACCAAGCCCTGCTAATTTTTGTATTTTTAGTAGAGACAGGGTTTCACCATGTTGGCCAGGCTGGTCTCAAACTCCTGACCTCAAGGGAAATGCCCTCCTTGGCCTCCCAAAGTGCTGGGATTACAGGCATGAGCTGCAGTGCCTGGCCCATGAGATATTTTTATACAGGCATGCAATGCATAATAATCACGTCATGGAAAATGGGGTTTCCATCCCTCAAGTGTTTATCCTTTGTGTTGGAAACAATCCAGTTACACTCTTTTAGTCATTTTTAAATGTACAATTAAATTACTACTGACTATAGTTATCCTGTTGTGCTAATACTAGGTCTTATTCGTTCTTTCACTGTGAACATTTTCATACACGTCTTTTGAAGCATGCATGTTTCCCTAATCTTGGATATATACTTAGGATTGGAACTGCTGGGTCACAGAGTAGGCATATGTTAACCTTTTTTTTTTTTTTGAGACGGAGTTTCACCCTTGTTACCCAGGCTGGAGTGCAATGGCGCGATCTCGGCTCACCGCAACCTCCGCCTCCTGGGCTCAGGCAATTCTCCTGCCTCAGCCTCCTGAGTAGCTGGGATTACAGGCACGTGCCACCATGCCCAGCTAATTTTTTGCACTTTTAGTAGAGACGGGGTTTCACCATGTTGACGAGGATGGTCTCGATCTCTTGACCTCATGATCCACCCGCCTCGGCCTCCCAAAGTGCTGGGATTACAGGCTTGAGCCACCATGCCCGGCCATATGTTAACCTTTAGTCATTACTATCAAACAGTTTTCCAAAGTGCCTATGTTGACTTACACCAGCAACATCTCAGATTTTGGCCTCAGGAACACTTGTTCCTGGATCCGGAGGCTTGGTTTGATCTTGGTGGGATCCCTTTGGCAGAACTAGAAATGGTATTTTGTTGCTTCATCAGGCCACACACAATATCTGCTTTTCTCTCTTCTTTCATGTTAGCAGCTACTGAGACCCAGTGTCTATATCTATTAGTTCATTAAAGGTTGCAAAATGGTGATTTTCTAATTATTAAATCTGTAAACTGAAATAATTTATTTATTATTAATTTTTTGAGTCAGAATCTCACTCTGTCGCCGGGCTGGAGTGCAGTGACCAACACGATGAAACTCTGTCTCTGCTAAAATACAAAAATTAGCCAGGTGTGGTAGCTTGTGCCTGTAATTCCATCTACTTGGGAGGCTGAAACAGGAGACCTGCTTCAACCTGTGAGGCGGAGGTTGCAGTGAGCCAAGATCGTACCGCAGAACTCCAGCCTGGGCGACAGAGTGAGACTCAGTCTCCAAATAAATAAATAAATAAATAAATAAATAAAAACATACATTATTGTGAATTTATTTATTTAAGTATAGTTGTTGGTTGTTTTTTGTTTTCGGAGACGTTCTCGCTCTGGTTCCCCGGCTGGAGTGCAGTTGGCAGGATTATAATTCATTGTGATGTCAAACTCCTGGACTCCAGCACTCCTCTTGCCTCGGCTTTCCAAAGTACTGGGATTACAGGTGTGAGCCACCATGCCTGGCCTACTTGTTGGGTTTTAATTCATTTCAATTCTTATTTTTCCTGAAACTCAAATGGTCTGGTCTCTGGCCAGCATGGGCGTCTTTGGGTCCTTTTGCCATAACCTTAGTGGTCTTTGATAGTGTCCTTGCTTTTTGTTATGTCAAGATGTTCCAAGCTTATCTTGTACATTTCCTAACCCCAGATCTGGAACTAGCCATTTCTCAAAGATGCTCTGATTTATTTATTTATAAAATGAGATAGGGTCTCATGGTGTTGACCAGGGTGGTCTCAAACTTCTGGCTTCAAGCAATCCTCTCACTCTGGACTCCCAAAATGCTGAGATGATATGTGTGAGCTCCCACACCTGGACTTGCTCTGATTTATTTCCATGAAATGGTCTGTAAGACTGTGATCTAAGAAGGAGCAGGCTTTTTCCTACTGGGTCGTTCATTGTTTCTTGACTTTTATATTGGCTAGAACTCAAAATTATATTTTTAAAGACGAAAATACCTCATGAGCTCATATTAATATTTAAAATCAAAATTCTCGACTGTAGCGTTTTTCCTTAACCTCTTTTATATTGCATTTGTATCTTATTTCTTCTACAGAGAGAATATTTATTTTCAAAGGAATGATGGAATTAGAACAGCCCAGACTTACTCATGGAATTAAAATAGTCCAGAACTAAACACAACACAGTCGATATAACAATAATATATAGTTTTTTTTGAGATGGAGTCTTGCTTTATTGCCCAGATGGAGTGTAATTGTGTGATTTCAGCTCACTGCAACCTCCACCTCCTGGTTTTAAGCGATTCTCCTGCCTCAGCCTCCTGAGTAGCTGGTACTACAGGCGCACGCACCACCACACCTGGCTAATTTTTTGTATTTTTAGTAGAGATGAGGCTTTGCCATGTTGGCCAGGCTGGTCTCGAACTCCTGGCCTCAAGTGATCCACCTGCGTCAGCCTTCCAGAGTGCTGAAATTACAGGCATGAGCCACCGCGCCCAGCCAAAATTTTTATTTTTAATAGAGACAGAGTCTCCCTGTGTTGCCCAAGATGGTCTCAAA